TCCCAGCTACTCAGGAGGCTGAGGCAGAAGAATTGCCTGAACCCAGGAGGCGGAGGTTGCGGTGAGCCGAGAACGCGCAATAGAACTCCAGCATGGGTAATGAGAGCGAAACTACGTCTCTCAAAAAAAAAAAAAAAAAAAATTTTAAAATAGTGAATAATAAAATTAAGTTATAGTCATATTAAAGGAATATAATTTATTCATACATCTTATTTTTTAAATGGTAAAAATTATCTTTTATGAAATAATGGTGTTAGTAAATTTTTTTAAATGTATATATTTAGGAAAGTAAAATGGTGGCAACTATAAGTCAGTCCTATCAATAAACTTCTCTCTTTCTCTTTAATTTTTTTTTTTGAGACTGAGTCTCACTGTGTCACCCAGGCTGGAGTATAGTAGCGTGATCTTGGTTCGCTACAACCTCCACCTCCCAGATTCAAGTGATTCTCCTCTCAGCTGGGATTACAGGTGCCCACCACGCCCAGCTAAATTTTTGTATTTTTAGAAGAGATGGGGTTTCACCATGTTGGCTAGGCTGGTCTTGAACTCCTGACCTCAGGTGATCTGCCCACCTCAGCCTCACAAAGTGCTGGGATTACAGGCGTGAGCCACTATGCCTGGCCCATCATTTTTTTTTTTCTTTTTTCTGAGCCATGAGATTACAAAGCGTGGGAACCACTGTATTAGATCTAGCTAGAGTACCAGTCTAACCAGAGTTCTAGTCAATATACCCATAATGAAATTCAGAAACACTAATTGAAACAGTACAGAATAAAATGAGAATGAGATAAAAATTGTTTTGTATCACTGTATTTTTAAAATGGTAAAAATTATCACTACGTTTGTAATACAAAACAATTGTGATATTGTAAACACTCTCTCTTACCACATTTGCCATGTATTTGAGAACTGTCTACATGGCTGTTCTATTCTCCTATCGTAACTATACATTTTTAGTTTTAGCTTCATCCACAAAAACCAAAAATCAAAGTTACTACCGCTTTTCAATGAACCTAAATTACCAGTAAACATCAGGGATAAACTCTGTCCCTAGCCATAGGTGTGCTTTCATGGAATTTTAAAACCAAAGGAGAGGCTGGGTGCCGTGGCTCACGCCTGTAATCCCAGCACTTTGGGAGGCTGAGGCAGGTGGATCACCTGAGGTCAGAAGTTAGAGACCAACCTGGCCAACATGGTGAAACCCTGTCTCTACTAAAACACAAAAAGTAGCTGGGTGTGATGGGGCATACCTGTAGTCCCAGCAACTCAGGAGGCTGAGGCAAGAGAATTGTATGAAACTGGGAGGCATAGGTTGCAGTGAGCCAAGATCGTGCCACTGCACTCCAGCCCGGGTGACAGAGTCAGCAAAGTTACTACCTTTGCTCAAAAAAAAAAAAAATTAAAAATTAAACATTGGCAGAGCATATCGGCTCACATCTGTAATCCCAGCACTGGGAGGCCAAGGTGGGAGGATTGCTTGAGATCAGGAGTTTGAGACCAGCCTGGCCAACATGGTGAAACCCCGTCTCTACTAAAAATACAAAGATTAGCCAGGCATGGTGGTGGTGCACACCTATAGTCCCAGCTATTCAGGAGGCTGAGGCAGGAGAATCACTTGAACCTATGAGGTGGAGGTTGCTGTGAACCAAGATGGCACCACTGCACTCTAGCCTGGGTGACAGAGCAAGACTTCATCTCA